CCCAAACTTGATTTTTTTAGAATTGAATAGAATTGGGCTAGCAGCACCGACAGCAACAACAACAATGCTTCAGGCGTAAACAAAATTGGGCTAACAACTTACATATATTCTCTAACTACACTCGAATCTCTCTATAATATTCTCGTTTGTTTCGATATATGTTTTTGACTTTTATAGTAATTGACTATAATAACATTTGACGTTTAAATATTATTTGATTGTTATAGACAAATATTATCCAGAAATTAAAACCATTTTAAAAACTTTTTAATGTTATAAAAGATAAGAATTCTTTAAATCTAAAATCTCAAAAGATATGCATAATTCATTCATAATTAAAATTTAGGAAAAGCTAATACATTTTTTTATGTATGTACTCACCTAATATTCTTTGTCACTAGTAGTATATTGAAGTTTTATAATCTTAGAGATTCTCTTAACTTAGTATTGATAATCTTAGAGATTCTAATTCTGTAAACCTCACCTTTATATTACCAAAAAAAAAAATGACTATATAGAGAGATATTTTACAAAAATCATACTGTTATAAATATATTTGTTGATGTTATAGTGAAAAAATTATTGCAGACAGATAAAATTTAACATGAAAAATTAAATCCCAAAAAAAAACTTTTGCAATTATATTAAAGTGTACTGTCATACCAAACACTTTGCTTCATGCGCCTAATACGCAAATTCCATTCATCCCCTCAAAAAGTTTCTTAGTTTTAAGTTAATCTATTTCAGCTTATTTATGATAATCCTTCTTCCACAGGGAAAAGGTATTGATTTAAGTTTTATTTTTATTTGGGTCATTTATAGGACAGAATAAACTAACATTTTCCGCGTCAAATTCAGATTCCTAAGTTGACTTGGTCTAGGATCTCAACTAGTATAAATACAGGTTGAGAGTGTGGGGTGCATCCTATTCAACAATAGGCATGTGACTATGAAATAAAACTTTACTGGCAACTCTTTCTTGGAGCTAAAGTTTGAAAACAAGCGGAGGAGATTAATACATTTTCTGTAGTATTTTTAGAGGCTTCGTATTTTGCTCCTATAAATGGAGGAGCTCTCTCACTTCTTCAAACACACCAAAAAGCATAAAGAAGTAACAGAAGTTAGAGAGATTAATCCACAGATCGTGGTCTGTGAGACAAATAGTGAGTGTGAGTAACATTGTTGTGAGGTATTTAAAATAAAGAGTGGTATTTCTTTCGAAGTTGTAGTAGTCTCTTTGACACTACTAAGTTGTAATATTATAGTGGTAATATTGCTACGCTCGAGTATTGTATTTTACCCTGTTAAAAAATTTGGTGTCTTTGTTACTCTCTTGTGTTATTATTATTTATCGTGGATATTATTTTTGGGAGGGATTATTATTATTTTTCCAACGTGGTATCAGAGCCATGGCGAATAATGGTCCGCTGTCATTACAGTACCCCCGTCTCACAAAAGATAATTATGAGAAATTGTGTCTACGTATGAAAGTCATTCTTGACTCCTAGGATGTGTGGAAAATCGTAGATAGAGGGTATGCAAAACCTGATTATGAGGAAGCTGTGCCTCAAAATGAAAAAGATGTCTTGGCAAAGACAAGGAAGAAGGATCAACAAGCCCTCACGCTCATCTACCAATGTCTGGATGATGTCATGTTTGAGAAGGTGACAGATGCTACCACCTCAAAGGAAGCTTGAGAGATTTTACAAAATTCTATTCAAGGAGTTGACAAGGTGAGTAAGGTAAAACTTCAAACTCTAAGGGCTGATTTTGAAGTTTTAAAAATGAAAGAATCCGAATGCATTTCGGATTATTGTTCAAAAGTGAAGGCTGTTGTGAATCAATTAAGGAGATATGGGGAGGACATAGAAGATGTCCATGTGGTAGAAAAGATCCTTTGCACTTTAACACCTAAATTTGATTTTGTGGTGTGTGCTATGGAGGAGTCTAAAGATTTAGACTCTATGATGGTGGAGCAATTGGAGGGTTCTTTACAGGCCCACGAGAAATAATCAAAAGGAGACAAAAAGTGCCATTGGAGCAACTTCTTAAAACTCAGACATCCTTCAAAAAGCTATCGAGGGAATGGACGGGGACGAGGCCATGGCGGTCATGGAAGAGGAAGTTTTAATAGTAACAACTTCAATAATGAAGTTAAAATCCACCAAACATTCAGAGGTCGTGGTCGTGGACAAAGAGGAGGAAGAGGACGTGGCTTCTACCAAGAAAATAATGGACAAAGGTATGACAAATCAAAAATTGAGTGCTGTAATTGTCATAAATTTGGCCATTACGCTTGGGAATGTCGTAGCAATATTGAACAAAAAGCTAACTTTGTTGACGACAAGAAAGAAGAAGATGAGTCAACATTGTTGCTGACACTCAAGGAAGAAGACAGGGATGATTGTAGCTCATGGTATTTGGACAATGGAGCAAGCAATCATATGTGTGGATGCAAAGAGAAGTTTGTGGAGATCAATAAAACTGTGAGAGGTAATGTGTCCTTTGGAGATACCTCAAAGATTCAAATCGAAGAGATAGGTACGATTTTGATCTCCTGTAAAAATGGTGACCACAAGTTAATTCAAGATGTTTATTATGTCCCAAAATTAAAAAGTAATATTTTGAGTTTGGGCCAACTTCTTCAAAAGGAATATGACATCGACATGAAAAATATGTATCTTTGGCTTAGAGAATCAAGTGGAATTCTAATTGCTAAAGTGCATATGGCAAAGAATAGATTATTTTCTCTGAATCTTAAGACAAATGATGCAAAGTGTTTGAAGGCTAATGTGCAAGATGAATCATGGTGTTGGCACTTAAGCGCTCAAATCAATTGGATGGTGCATGGGATACCACCAATCAACCATCCCAATCAATTGTGTGAAGCTTGTCTTCTTGGAAAACATGCAAGGAGGAGTTTTTCGAAGGAGTCCATGTGAAGAGCAACCATGCTACTCCAACTTGTGCACACTGATGTGTGTGCGCCAATCAATCCACCCTCCTTTGGTAAAAGTAAATACTTTCTTCTCTTCATTGATGACTTTAGTAGAAAGACTTGGGTTTATTTCTTAAACCAAAAATCTGAAGCTTTGCTGCTTTTAAAATTTTTAAAGTGCTTGTAGAGAAAGAAAGTAGCTATGAAATAAAAGCTTTAAGGTCCGATAGAGGAGGCGAATTCACTTCAAAAGAATTTAATGACTTTTGTCAGTCTCATGGAATTCGTCGCCCTCTAATTGTACCTTATTCACTCCAACAAAATGGAGTAGCAGAGAGAAAGAATCGAAAGATTCTTAATATGGCTAGTGTATATGTTGAAAGCTAAAAGTATGCCCAAGGAATTTTGGGCCGAAGCTATTTCTTGTGCAGTTTATTTGAACAACATGTCTCTAACAAGAAATGTTAGAGATCAAACCCCTCAAGAAGCATGGAATGGAAGAAAGCCAAGTGTCAAGCACTTGAGAATCTTTGGGAGCATAGCCTATGCTCATGTACCACAGCAAGGGAGAGCGAAGCTTAATGATCGATGCATGTGTTTGTTGGCTATGATACGAGTTCAAACGGCTACAAGTTATACAACCCAAGTAACAATAAAGTGGTGGTAAGTCGCGATGTTGAATTTGATGAAGAATTGGCATGGAATTGGGAAGCTCAGGAAGAAGCTTCATATGATTTTCTTCCATACTTTGGTGATGAAGAAGAACTAGTAACTGTGGAACCTGTTGAGGATACAACTCCACCTCCTTCTCCAACCAATTTCGGCTGCAGGAAATAATGTGCCACGCAAGAATTTCTACAAGATCACTTGTTGTCCAAATGCTGAACAACTTGTTAGAGATCTCACTTGGAGCAAAGCTAAGAATGACTTCACGTTGGAACAGATCAATCTGAGAAGGAGTCCAGGCCAAACCTCTCGCTGGGTGGTTTCGATGTAATTGATGATATCAAGCGACAAGTTGAGGAAAAATGTCCTAGGATTGTTTCTTGTGCTTATATTTTAGCATTAGCTGCTCGTAATGCTGTTTCTTTTCCTGTAAGTATTCCCATATATAATTGAACCTATATATGTAACTACTTATATATGCTAACAGTATAAGGAATTCAGTATTCATATGTATACATATACATAATGAAGCATTTTCTTTAATTATTTCTTCTTCTCTAACTTTTGCAGTTTAAGAAATCGCTATGGGACGTGGCGGCCGGAAGTGTATTGGGGAAAATTGTATTTATATATATGGTGACGTGTCATGACACGTAGACTGGTCAAACAGTCAAAGAATTAAGGTTGGTTAACAGATACGAGCAGCAACAGATTCGAGAAACAACAGATACGAGTAAGTTAAATAAAGAAGGCACGAGCATTCATACAAGTAATTCAACGCTCGTACCTATTCAAGACATTCAAAGGTCAAAGATCGAGAAGAGTCAAAGGAATGAATCTGACAGCAAAAAAGAGCCCAGATACAGCATTTAATGAGTATTAAATGCTAGAAACGTTAGAGAATATGTATTTAATGTATATGATTGCATAACGTAACATTTAAGGTCATTAATTACCCATAATTGTCTTATTATGACAAAGGTAAAGTCAGTATTCCCAAAACGGCTATAAAAGGGAAAGTCACAAACAACTGTAGGACACGAGAAAAACACTACTGGAATATACATTGATTTACTTGCTTTCTGATTATATTATTCACAAATCTCTTTCTTTATATACTTTTTTCCGATTATCAGTAACCCGAGTTCTTCTAAATTAAAGCTTTGACCTAAAATCTAATTTTTGGTTAAACAAATTGGTTCCGTTACCGGGAATCTGATAATCAATTATATCTTAACCTGATTTTCTTGATTGCATCAATCATGTCGAACAACAATGACAACACTCAAGGAAACCCTGAAATTCAAACAATCCAGCAACTTCAGGGAGACTCTCCACGAGGCTCTACACAAGGCTCTCCACGAGGCTCCCCACGACGGTCTCGTGAAGGCACTCCTGATGGATCTCACACAGATGGACATGCTCAATTCGAAAATGTTGAAACCATGAATGAGGCTCTGCAAAAACTTATTGCCTTTCAAGTCAATAAAGCTCTTCAGGCTTTTGTTAGCCAATTACCTGCTGCTCCACCCACATCTACTCCAAAGAACAATACTTTGGAGAATCCTCGTTCAGGATTAGTTAATTTAGGCAGCGGTGGAACCCCTAGTGAAACACAAGAGGGAGACCCAGGTAATCCAGTTAATTCTGATTTACAAAATCTAGTACTAACCTTGCAGAAACAGCTTAAGGAGCAAAATGAACGCAAAGAACAAATACCCGGAGTACCGCCCGTGATCAAGGGAGTAGATATAGATAAATATTCCCAACAACCATGGAAGCCAAGTGTTTGCCCCCTCCCAATTCCAAAGAAGTTTAAGATGCCTGATATTCCAAAGTACGATGGAACATCAGATCCACGAGATCACGTTACTGCATTCACAACAGGTGTCAAGGGCAATGATTTGACTAATCAAGAGATTGAATCAGTATTGGTCAAGAAATTCGGTGAAACACTCACTAAAGGGGCCTTAACATGGTATTCTCTTTTACCTGAAAATTTTATAAATTCGTTTGCTGAGCTTGCAGATTTATTTATTAAAGCACACTCGGGAGCTCAAAAAGTTGAAAAAAGAATGGAAGACATCTTCAAAATCAAGCAAGGAAATTCAGAGTTGCTTAGAGAGTTCGTAGATAGGTTTCAACGGGAAAGAATGACGCTGCCACAAGTACCTGACAATTTGGCAGCCATGGCCTTCGCTAGTAATTTGAATGAGAAGAGTTCAGAAGCCACGAGGCGACTCAAAGAAAGCCTTCGAGAATTCCCAGCAACAACGTGGAATGACGTCTACAACAGATACAGTACAAAAATGAGGATTGAAGAAGACATTATTTTACGACATAAAAACAGAAGAAAAGGTAAGCTCAAGGCGTGCGGAAAGTGACAAGAGATCCGGGAAAAACAGGTACGAGCCTTACATGGGACCTGCGGGAAAGGACTCACAGTCAAGACAAGATAATCAAAGGTATGATCACAAACCTAGGAATAGGGAATCAGGCTCCTCATCAAGGTTCGGGAATGATCGAAACACACGCGGGTCACGAGACGATGATGGGAGTTTAAAGGCAAGGTTCGGTGGTTATAACTTCAACGCAAGCACCTCTGAACTCGTAGATGTTTTAAGAGGCATGGGAGATAAGGTACGGTGGCCAAAGGAAATGCGATCGAGTCCAAACAGACGAAACCCTGATCATTGGTGCGAATTTCATAACGATCACGGGCATAAAACAGCAGATTGCAGGTTTCTGCAAGGTGAAGTTGATCATTTGCTAAAACAGGGGTATCTCACTAAGTTATTCAGTGAAAAAGGTAAACAAGCATACATGAAGAACAGGCAGGAGCCTCCAAAATCACCTTCACCCAAGAGAACTGTCAACGTTATAAGAGGGGGTGAAGAGATCAACGATGTATCATATAAAAAGGTTTCAAAAGTAACATTTACCCACGGGAAGCGGCCTCGACATGTACTGGAAGAGGAGAATATTATATTCAACGATGCAGACGCCGAGGGACTCTTAACTCCGCATAACGACGCACTGGTAATATCTTTACTTGTACATGACACTAACGTGAAACGAGTTTTGGTTGATCCAGGTAGTTCTGTAAATATTATTTTAATACGAGTATTGCGCGAGATGCAAGCGGAGGATATATTGATTCCAAAAGCACATACTTTGTCGGAATTTGACAACTCTAGTGTTGTAACGAAAAGAGAAGCAATACTTGCTACATTCGCAGAAGGCGTCATTAAAGATACCAAATTTCAAGTCGTAGATATGGAAATGGCTTACAATATGATTTTGGGAGGCCATGGATTCATGACATGGAGGCTGTTCCTTCAACCTTACATCAAGTTATTAAATTTCCATCTCCATGGGGAATACGTCAAATCAGAGGCGATCAACAAACATCTAGAAGCATCAATTCCGTTGCAGATTCAACTGATAAAGGTGAAGACAAATAGCAATTACAGAATTCAGGCGAGGGTAACACGGTGTCAACCTCACCTGAACAAAAGCAAACGGATATGGATTCGAGACCTGATACCATTCAAGAACTGGAGGAGAACGAGAACATCAAAACAACGACATAAGAGCTAGAGGTTGTGGTGTTATTTATACATTGGCCCGAGAGAAAAGTGTACATAGGAGCAAATCTTAGCCCAGAGGTAAAACGTAAATTAATTGAATTTTTAAAGGCTAATGCAGATTGATTTGCTTGGTCCCATTCTGACATTACAGGGATACCACCGGAAGTCATGACCCATAAATTGAATGAAGATCCATCATATCCTCCCATCAAGTAAAAGAAAAGAAAGCAAGGAACTTTCAAGAACAAGGTGATTCAAGAAGAAGTTCAAAAATTGTTAAAAATTGGTTCAATTCGTGAGGTAAAATATCCTGACTGGTTAGCTAATACTGTTGTGGTTCCAAAGAAGAACGGTAAGTGGCGAGTCTGTGTAGATTACACAGACCTTAATAAAGCCTGTCCAAAAGATTCTTTTCCTTTACCACACATAGATCAATTAATTGATGCTACTGCAGGGCATGAGCTATTAAGTTTTTTAGATGCATATTCAAGCTATAATCAAATCAAGATGGATCCAGGAGATGAAGAAAAAACCCTCTTTTATAACAGACAGGGGGACTTACTGTTATAAGGTAATGCCCTTTGGTCTTAAGAACGCAGGTGCAACGTATCAAAGGTTAGTTACCCAGATGTTTCAAGAACATCTAGGTAAAACCATAGAGGTATATATAGATGATATGCTAGTTAAGACTCAACATTCGGAAGATCATATATCACATATGTCTGACACGTTTAAGATTTTACGAAAATATAATATGAAGTTAAATCCAGAAAAATGTGCATTAGTGTAGCATCAGGTAAGTTTTTAGGTTTTCTTGTTTCTAACCGTGGTATTGAAGTGAATCCTGCACAGATTAAAGCCATTGAAGAAATCCCTGATATACTTTCAGACAAAAAAGAGGTTCAAAGACTAACAGGGAGAATCGCAGCTTTGGGAAGGTTCGTTTCTAAATCATCGGAAAAATGTTTCAAATTCTTCTCGGCTCTTAAGAAGCAGGATCATTTTGAATGGGATGAGGAATGTCAACAAGCACTTAGGGATTTGAAAACATACTTGTCAAATCCGCCTTTGCTGGCAAAATCAAAGGCTGGGGAGAAACTTTTTATCTACCTTGCTGTTTCAGAAGTTGCGGTAAGCGCGGTTTTGGTTCGAGAAGAGAAGGGTAAACAATCTCCTATCTATATATGTTAGTAAATCTTTGTTAGATGCAGAGACACGGTATCCACAATTGGAAAAATTAGCACTTGCTCTAATCATGGCATCTAGGAAGTTAAGACCATATTTTCAATGCCATCCCATTGTTGTAGTGATTGCATGCCCCCTACGTAATGGATTGCATAAACATGAATTGTCAGGGAGGTTAGCTAAATGGGCCATAGAGCTTAGCAAATATGAAATCACGTACCTACCTAGAACAGCAATAAAATCCCAGATATTAGCTGATTTCGTGGCTGATTTTAGCCAAGGGATGAAATTAGAAGCAGAAAAAGAAGTACAAATACTTAATGGGGCTAACCCAGGAACATGGACCTTATTTACTGATGGCTCATCTAACGTAAAAGGTGCAGGATTAGGAATTGTTTTAGTACCACCTACGGGTGAAACTATTAGGCAAGCTATTAAATGTCATTTCGTAACTAACAATGAAGCGGAGTATGAAGTTGTGATTGCAGGTCTAGAATTGGCACGAGAACTTGGTATAAATCAAGTAGTGATCAAAAGTGACTCGCAACTCGTGGTTAATCAAATGCTGGGGACTTACACAGCTAGGGAAGCAAGGATGCAACAATACTTGGAAAAGGTACGGGAACTGATAAAGCAATTCCAAACTTGGAAGGTCGTACAAATATCAAGGGATAAAAATATTGAAGCAGATGCCTTAGCTAATCTCGCATCCGCAGCCGATGTGGCAAATGATGCAAATGCTTCAGTTATACATTTATTTCATTCAATTCTCGAACCTGATAAGAATGAGGTAAATTTTAATAATTTAACTTGGGATTGGAGAAACAAAATTGTTGCTTTTTTACAGTATGGTACCGTCCCTGACGACAAGAAGCAAGCGCATGCACTTCGAAAAAAGGCTGCTCGTTACTGTTTAAAATAAGGGAATCTTTATCGTAAGATGTTCGGTGGTCCATTAGCAA